GAAGAAGAGATGCATAACTAGGTTGTTGTTGAGTTTGCTGCCCAGTTAGCCACTCTGAGATCTGAGATGAGGGTAGAGATCGAACCGATGTTGCGTTGGGATAATGATGATGAGAAGAGGACGCTAGAAGATGAGGAGAATGAATAAGGGGTTTTTTTTGTTTGGCTGTATATTAAATAATTTATTGTCTGTGAACATTTGTTTTATTGTGCAGTTGTACATTTCCTTTGTTTTAATTCAATTACTTATTATTTCTATATATGATTTATGCGATAATTAGTTTTGTTACTATGTTGTGTTGTGTTTTGATTGATCTATTATGATTGGAGGTGTGTAGATTGTAGCTTTGAAAGTAGCCTTTATATATTTATTTCTAATAGTACAGGTTTTTGTAACTTATCGATGGCTTTACGATGGTTTATCGTACAAGTGATGGCATTTAGACGGTCTATTGAACAAGCAACGTTTAGGTAAAGTGCTCAATTTTGCTACATACAAAGCAGTCAGTAAATTCTCATGGTAATCAAATATTTGGTGACATTTTACAATAGAACAACAAAGCTTTTCTGACGGAACTGTAACACTTTTCCTACAGTTGTTTTTGTTAGCTATGAAATAGACGGTCAAGCTACGGTTAAACGTAACATGTTTCTAGATCTATAGTGATGGTTGTGATGTTCGGTTAACGGTCGATCAATGTAAACCATTGTTAAATCAGCCTGTAATTAAATTATCGATAAGTGTTTTTGCTACATCAACTTTATCATAGCTAAATCATTAGTAAATATACTACTTACTATTTATCCGTTATTACCGATGGTATTTGACCATCGACAACAAGTTAAATTCCTATTGCGGGTGTGCATGGTTACATTGCGAGACTATTTCTCTATTATGAGAGTTAAATCATTCGATCCACAATGACAATGCGTGCACACGGTGATACTTTGATAGAGCATAGAAGTTGCGGTGTATTCGAGATGTGAATTTTCGACATGTGCTTTTTCTTATGAAATCAAGAGAGGATTATGAGCAAAATTCTTGTTAGTTTCAATGTTATAGAGAGAAGATCTGAGAGGTGAAAATCTTCGTACATTTCTCATTTCATATTAAATTTTTTGTGTGGTGTGGCTCCGTGATGTCTTCCCATTCACGGTATTTTCCACGTTAAATATTGGTGTGTTTTCCATGATTAATTTGGTGCACATTTATATTCGATATTTTTTTCTGAATTTCTCAAATTGGTGTGATCCTTATTCCTCGTTTTGGATTTGATTGCTAATCAGTTAAAATTCTAGTGATTTCCATCCCAACAAGTGGCATTAGAGTGGAGTTTTGAAAACTTTAAAATTGAGCAAAAGCAATGATCAACAAAGGTACAAAGTGGAGAATATTTTCAATGAACTAATCAAACTTCGCGTTTTGAAAAATGCGCCGAAAATGTGCTTTATCGAAAGAAATTGTGGAGATTCTTCCAAGAGGAATTGGAGCTCTGATTCTCATTCACCATATTTACCGCTACAAGGAATAACCAAGAAGACTAAAACGATGACTTTGGAGGAGTGGAAAGTGCTGGATTGAACAAAACTAGGGTTAATCTGTCTTTCACTTTTTGTTATATTGAAGCATTTTTAAAATTTCTGTAATGCTCATCATTTAATTTTTTAAAATTATTTTTGAGAAAAGGGTGCAGTCTTATATAGGAAGAAATTTGAGAACTTGTTATTTCCAATCTTGCTTTTTTCTTAATATTCAGAGTTACACTTTTTGAAGGAATTAGTGTAAGTACATATAATGTAACTAGCAATTACAATCAATTTTTCTTTAAAAAAAGCTAACTAACAATCTTTAAGCATAAATAAAGTTCTTCACATAAGAAATAATTATAATCTAAAATAGTGGAATTAAAATTTAAATAATTTTATTAAAAGTAACTTTTGCTCTTTTATTTTTAAATAGTATTAATACAAAGTACTTTCACTCTTTTATAAAATTATTTTTTGGAGTAATACTTTTCTTAATCCTGAAGCTAATATGCATCCATTTCTTCTAAAATATCAATAGAGGCTGCTCCTCCAACTTGATTTTTTACTTTTATTGCATGAGTGGAATTGACATCATTATGCTGAATTGGGTTTCAATTAGAGGTGCCAAAAATTGGCTCAACATGTCAACTTGACTCAAATCTGAATAAAAAAAATCTCGGTTGAGGTTGAACAAATTAATTTATGAATTGTTTTCATGTAAAAAATCCCAACATATTTATTGTTTGGGTCGAATTTGAATTGATTTGTGAATCCAATTAACATAAAATTGACATACCAATTTGAAATTGTCTTGAAACTAAGAGTTTGTTCTAGTCAGTTGGTTTGAAGAAATGCATCAAAATTGGGTTAGAATTTCTGACCCAATTTATATTTGGGCCAGGTTCCGTTGAAATGATTTTTTATCAATTCAATTTCAATTCAAACCCAAACCACAGATTCATAAATCCAAATTGACACCCCTAGTTCCAATGCATCCTTAAATCATTTGCATAAGCATTTGCTTACATGAATTCTTAAACTCTAATATTTTATTTAAAATACTTTTTGAACCGCTTGAAAAATTTTTCTCTTACGGCTCATTTGGGGCAGCTTATAAGCGCGGCGGCGTTTTTGAAAACGTCGCTTAACCTTTTGGTTTGCACGTTTTTAAAAACGTTGTCTGCCACGTTTGACTTTTTTACACTAAACGCAGGCCTCGGGTCGACCCCTGCGGTCGAACCGCGGGTCACGCTTCAGGATAAGCTGCTTATCCGGAAATGCACAAGCTGCCCCAAACAGATCATTTGTTTTACTGAATGAGAAGCCCACATGTTGACACCATTTAATTTTATCTTATAAGTAAGATCTCCAATGGTAGGCCTAAGTTGGATTTCGTTCAAACTATTTTTTAGATTATGGATTGTTTGATTTTTATTCTATTGGCCCTTAAATATTAACATCAATTGTTTTTAAAACATTTTTGAAAGAAAGTTACATTAGACTCTTCTATCATTGATAATATTTTTGTTGATGGGTTTCAAGCGAAGACATCAAAATGGAGCCCATAATTTGAGTCTTCTCCTGAACTAGATATATTGTCATTGATGGTGACTTCTTCCATATTGCAAGTTCAGTATATTAATCATCGCACTTTATGTATCTTTGGTTCCATTTTCTACAAGCTCTTGATTAATTGTTGATATTACTATTATTATGATTACTCACTCATTTGTAACTAGAGTTCTTGTTAAGTTAGATATTGTTTATATATTTGAGAAATATGTTTTAAATGATCATAATTATCAAGATTACTGATAAAAGATGAAATTGAAGGCCTTAGCCTATTGCGATAATCAACACCCCACCCACTTTTGAATGAGCACAATCCTTCTAATATCTTGACTTTATACAAATTTAAGAAGAACATTACAATTAATTAACCTTTTAATTTTGGATATGCATTACATTACAACTAAAAGGTCAATTAATTACAACTACTTTCTAACTATAAGGGTGAGATTAACTTGGGAAATTTTCATTACTTTCAATAACTATGTTATTTACAATTTTGTGCTCATCGGAAGTAACTCTCCTCTTAATACATTTTAGAACCTTCATTCATTAATCATGGAGTTTAGAGATGCTTCACTTTAGGAGCCATTTTTTCTCCTTCTAACTAACCATTTATCTTAATCTTTTTAGCTATTAAAATGTTATAATTGCTGACACATTACTTTTAAATTACGTGTGATTTTTTTTTCTAATGAAAAAAGCACATCTATAATTGAAAATAATGGAATATAAACAACATTTATAGTGGAAAAATAAAAACTTATAAATGCAGTCATGGTTAAGATTTTCGAATATCATAGGTGCCCCTTATGACTCAGTCGCTAGCTAGCTTGTCCTTGTTCGCATAGCCAAATTAACTAGGAAAACCGACAAATTTTCTCCTCTCATCTAGGGATAAATGCTATCCTAAGAAATTAATACAATGCAATCTGACATCCGGCTTAGTTCCCAAGCATAAATCTATAAGAAAATACGTACTGCCAAACAAGAATCTCACTTCGAAAGTAACAGCTCAATCATAGAGTTTGACGTCAGGATTCCATCAAATATGTATAGTAAGAAATTACTTACAATATTAATTAAAATAATATATATGGAGTAAGAAATTCCATCAAATCGATATTTGACAGATGCCCAAATATCGATTTCTCATGTGCTAGACACTATGATGAGAGTCTGCGTCATGTGCCTAAATATTCGAGAACCCAGCGTCATTGGAAATTGAACCCGTGACTTGAGGGGACTTACAGTGAACCCAACCAACCAACATGTCACAACACACAGATATATAGATAACAACCGTATATGTATCTCTCTTTATGTATATTAATCTCCCTCTCTCCTCTCTCCTCTCTCTCTCTCCTCTCTCTCCTCTCTCTAGAGATATCTAGTATACGATTAAGGATTTTTTAAAATTTATTTTTCTTATTTTTATGATACTGCGTGCACACTTGGGACTTGTGTCCTCTGAAAGGTAAAGACCACTTTCCTCAGAACAGAAATAATTATTTACAAACTTTTACAGTCTAGATAACTGTACCAATAAAAAGGAACATCAATCATGTCAAAAGTAGAAAGGTTGATAGGCACTAACATTAATGAACCCCACACTGATCTCCATGCGCTCTCTTCCTTAAAGACTTATCCAATCCATCTATGAAGAAAAATCCCTTTTTAACTCCTTAATTAAGCCTCCTATTTCTCAAAATTACGTGCGCGAGTAGAGCACATATACAATCATTCATATACTTGTGTTTTTTTATGTATTATTAGATACAAAATAATTATTGTACATAAAATATAGAAAAATACATAATAATATATAAATCAAATACTATAGGAAGTACCTTTATTTGACTCATTTTCCCCTCTTTATCAAGATCTCTTATAGCTAGGTTTAGATCAGCAGTAGTACATGACACTTTCTTGGGTCTTAAAGCTGTTCCCAATGGCCTCACTTGCTCTTTTTGGGTCATCAAAGTTGAGATTTTTGGGACTAATGACCTGTTTAATCTCTTCATAACCATAATTAATTAATGGAGCCTCTGCTTCTCCTAAATTTCCACCAAGGAGAAGCTTCTGATCTCCTATTTTGTTAAAGAGAAAATAGTTCTCTGTCTCAAACTCCATTGTTGGTCTTCCAAAGCATATTTCAGAAAAGCTGCCGTTCAGTTGGTCTCCCCCGAAAATGAGAAGCTTGCTGCTATTTAACTCGGTCTGATGATGGTGTGATAGCCACATTTCAGCTAAGGGGGACGAAGAACTGGTGTTATAAAACTTAGATGGAAAATATTGGTGATGGGAGAGTAATGAAGTAGTAGAAGAAGAATGGAGGATATTATGATCAAGAGTTGGTTGTAATTGTTGATTCTGCTGCTTTAACTGATGGCTTGATTTCCTTTGAGTTGGGGAGATTCCAAACAGCTTCTTCTTGAGTTTTGTGTTCCAGTAATTTTTAATGTCATTATCTGTCCTTCCAGGTAGATGTGAAGCTATTATGGACCATCTGCACTTAGAGAGAAATCTATTTTAGCCAAAAAAAGAAGAAGAAGATATTTTAGCTAGGATTACATGGCACTTAATTTTAAAGTGTAAGAGAAATTTAAAGTCAATACATTTTAAACATATTTCATAATAATGCCAGATTAATTTATGTAATATTTAGCTTAGAGATTATCTCATTGCAAAATAATGATACTTGTTCTTGGACAAAATAACTATGTTAACAACAATAAATTATCATTGTATTGTGAAGTACAGTGGAGAAAAAAATTAAGACTGTTCTTAGCAAGATCTGATTAGAATGTACTTTGTAAAAAATAATAAATTTTAATTGGTTAATCATATGATTAACTTCCACTTAAATAATTATGATAGCTAATTTAGCAAATCATCCGACTCAAACATCTCATAAAATGAATGCTTAATATCTTGATAAAAATGCCTTAAAGTTTAAGAAATAAGAAACGAAGTCCTTTATATCCTGAGCTAAGCTTATAGATCTCGCATGCATGGGAGGGAAAATGAATGGAAGGTGGTCTAGTATGGAAGAAGCTTTTTTATCCATGAGTGCTCTTTGCTAAAACAAGAAAGGAATGATGGTTTTTTCATGTTATTTCTTGTTCTTTTATGTTTTTTTTGTAGATTTCTGAAGTAAATGGAGTGAAAAAGAGAAAACACCTAAAAGTAGAACTAATAATTGAGAAAAAACAAGACAAATGAGAGTTAACTAACCTGCTTCCAATAGAAGCAAAGAGGCTGCATATGATCCTATCTTCATCATCAGAGAAGTTACCATGCTTTATGTTCGGTCTCAGATAATTTAGCCATCTCAACCTGCAACTCTTCCCACATCTCTTTAGCCCTGGAAGCAACCCAGTATCAACTCTCAACAAATCAATTTCCATATAAATTATTTCAACTAAAAAAACTTCCTTTTTCAAGAGAAAAGGTGAGGAAGAGGGAGAGAGGAAGAGAGAGAGAGAGAAGGAGAGATGAATCATGATCACTAACCGGCCTTCTGTGGGAGGGAAATCCAATTGCCACCAATCCCATACTTTTCTATGTAATCCTTAAGCTTATTATCTTCCTCAGGAGACCAAGGTCCTTTCTTCACGTTTGCCTTGTCACAACATGGAGCCCTACCCATATTGGACAGCTTTCTTCTCCCTTAGCCTGCTTAGCCTTTCTTATAAAAGGGTAGATCATAAATGAGAATGCATGAAAAAACTAAGGAAAGGAAGAGCTTCTGACTTCAACCCTTGCAAGCTTACTTAGTGCCTTCAAGAAAAAAGCTTTCCTGTGCAAAGACAGAGATCAGAGATGCGTAAATTTGAAAAAGCAAGGTGAAGGGGCAGAAGTCAAAGCATAGTCTGTCTGGTATCAATCAATTGTAGGCTTCTGGTTGGCACTCTCGTTTTATTTCTATATTCATCAATTTTGATTATTTTTAAGCCACCATATAGACTTACATCATCCATGATTAAAGTCTTCACTATACTTTTGAAGACCCTACATCTATGATTTATGTCCGCCTTTTGCCTTCCTCAGTTTGTTTTCTACCCTTTTTAATCCTCTCCCTCCACCTAATAAATTTTCCCACTTCGCAGGACACGTAGAAATGGAAGTAAGGCCTATGGCTCATGATGATTTTGTTATGCATAAAATCTAAATTAAGAAGAAAATATTACGCGAACAATTGCATGTCATATTTTTTCTTAATTCACGCGATAATTGATTAGAACTTGGTTTGATATCTATCCTATGTAGATGCTTAATCAATTTTTTTGTAACTAAAGAAATTTGCTCAGTCACACATCTACAAAAATAGGTGGAAGTGCACAAAAACACAGCCTTCATAAGCCATAGGTGTAGAGATGGTTTGATGCACACACTCTTACTCTTTCTTTTTTTAGAGAGAAAGATTCCATAGGTGACTAGATAGTAAAAACAAAACTATAACTCAGTTTTTCATCTTTGGAAGCATACTTTTAATAGATGGGATTTAATGTGAATCCAATCAAACAGTTAAAAGAGACAAGTTGATATTAATTCTCATTCTGCTAGATCCAACTTTGCTCACCGTTTAAGCGGTGTTGGTGGCGTGCTATTTATCGGAACTAGCCTTAGATATAACTTAAATCCAACCAAACACTCATGAAAGTAAGACTGAATCTAATGCCCTGTTAGTTTCAATCTTTCTCCGTTGTGTTATTATTCTCCCTTGTTTCGTCTTTTTGGCAACGTAAATCTGGATTTCATAAATCTGAATATGAGTCGGATTTATTTCTATGTTTATCGCAAGGGATTATAAATTTGCTACAACTGGATTTATTGGATTTAATAGATCCTATTTAACCACCTAAATCAAGACTTATTAAATTTAATGGATTTAACTTGGGAAGAAATACATATCTGCGCGGCTCCAATTATAGCTTCATGTGGCACATTCATGAAGTGAGGATTTAAGCGATCGCCTCCATTGTACGTCCTTGACTTCAAACATATTAATTATATTCTAGGATCTTTAATGAGCATGGGTTACATTTCTGTAAGAGCCCAAACAAACCACAAGCTATGAAAAAGAAAAGGCAAGCAATGAATATGAATTCAAAATTAAGGTACCGGACACGGCAACTGCCCTAATCCCGTTATGTGGTTTGAAGACTTAGTTGAAATATTTGGTGAAAAGATTATGCTAGAATTAAGGTATTTAGTAGATGACTATGGAAAATGATTTTATAGTTTATAGTATAAAAACAAATTCTATTTTTGAAAAATTAAGGATTCTTTGATTTACACTTTTAAAAGGATTGATGCTCTATTAAAATTTATTTTCTAACTAATACTATTTTTTTCAAGTAAAGGATAGTGATAAGATTTTAACTTTAGAAAGAGCATAATAAAATTCAAAACTATTTAAGGCCTGTCAAGATAAAGTAATCCTCACATAAAAGTAAGGATTAAAATATTATGAATGAAGAAAAAGGGAGGTGAGGAGAAGCTTGAGGAGAAGCTTGAGTTTAGCTTGAATCCTCATAAAAGGAAAAAAGGCTTAGAAAGAATCCTAAAATTGATTTTATTTTAAAAAGTATTAGTAAAATTTTGACAAATAGAATTCTTAAATTCTAACTTTATACTTTATGGAGATCCTAAGTTTAACAAATTACAATTATTTTTGAACTAGATAAAAAATTAAGATTCCCGAGTTTAATACTAAATATTCTTATACCCTAGTTTAAGTCTAATTCACTAGAACTTCTTCTAGGTTGTACTACAACGTTCCTGAAGCAAAATTATAAGAAAACCTAAAGAACCCCACTACCTCAAATTAACATATTTGGTTTTAAAAAGTTGTAGTGTTACTTGGGGATAAATAACATTTAAGTTTGAGAGAATTTGATATGTCTCTAAATATACTTAATTTATTCTTTAATTTACACATGTTTTTGAATGAAATTGTACTTTAATGGAAGTTATTTTTTAGTTTATGATGCAGGCATAACATGTATGAGCATTGGAACGAATTTGGACTGAATAAAAGCGAAACAGAATGGTACAAAGTGTTGATTATGGTCTAGCGCATAGGTGCCCACTTTTGGGTGCCAAGGTGTTGCAAGAACATCTTGGTGCCAGGTTCTTGGCGTCTAGGCACCCAAGCTTTTTGATGTAGGCAGAGGGCACGACACTCAGGTGCTACAGATTGGGCACCTAGGTTTTGCAGTTCGGATGGTTACTTTTTTCCAGTTTTTTTTCATTGTTGAAGGTTCAGACGGGGAGATTGAAGAAGATTTTAAAATAATTTGGCAGCTTCTGATTTAGAAGAGAGAGGAGTTAGGTTGGTTAAAAGAGGTTTGAGAGTGGTTCTGGAGAGAAGCAATCGAATTCCTAAAAACCTTCCATGAGAGTATGTAGGAGTAGGAATCCTTGTTCCAAAGAGATTAAAGTGGGAAATTTAAGAGAATCTTTAAGGGGTTTATGACAACACATTAGGTAGCACTATGGAAAACATCATCCGGTGGAGTTTTCTTGGCAAAAGCTAAGTTAGTGTGTAATCTTATTTGATTATTGTTGTAAACACATATTTGATTAATTTGCTTGGATCGAAAGAAGTTTTCTTTGGTGTTTAACATATGTAGTGAGTAGATTTTTTATACTTTCCTCTTGTGATGGATAGGTTAGATTAGTATGGTTGTGAATGCTTTGAATTGATCTTTAGATGAGTATATCTCTATACTTAATTTACTTGTTATACTAGTCATATAACTTGTTAAAATTTGTCGTGACCCATTAAGTCTTGACAGAACGATGTAGAAACAACATAAAATATTCTCATCATGCGAATGACTATGAAAGATGAGTCATTGGGGCAATGAAACTTAGGGAAATAGGTTTTGATGGGTATAAATTAGGGACTCTAGGGTGGCAGGCTAGAATCCTAACCAATTTGATCTTGGGATTAATGAACTAAAGCTAGGTTAGTCAAATTGAGGCATAAATTAGGGACTATAGAGTGATAGGATAGAATTGTAACCAATGTAATACAGTGTTTAAGGAATTAATACTAGGTTAACTAAATTTCTTTACACACTTGACAGAGGGTAAAGAGGAATGCCCTTGTTTTCGCTACCATATAAAAATTCTTAGAATTAACACTTACAATCTACTTAGGATATCACAAGTGAAACATATCTTTATCAATCTTAAATTTCACATGTTTAATTGATCTAGGCAAGTATAATTTAGGAGTAGAAATGTAACTTAGGATTAGTTATTAGAAAAACTACCTTTAACAACTAGGACCTGAAAGTAGTAGGCTTGAATTGACTCTTAGGTTGTTATTAGTGTGAAAGCTTCAAAGAACTTATTTTATCTTCTCTGTGGGATCGACATTTCAGACTCAAGTAGAGCCTTATATTACAAAAATGATACATGCACTTGTGTAGGTACCCTGTCACTTAGGTGGAGATTGTGAGTTAAATTAAATTTTCATTAAAGTGTTAGTAGTTGTTGGGACCGTCAGCTACCACCCCTTTTGTGACACCCACCCCTACACCCTATACTGTCACCTTTTCTGTGACACTTGCTTCTGCACCCGCTACTGCCACCCCTCTTGTGGCACTTGCTCCTACACCCGCTGCTTCCTCGCCTCTAAGGATGTTTACTGCTTCCGCACCTATTCCCCCACCCACTGCTATTGTTATTACTATTGGCACACCTACTGCCTCACCACTTCCAGTCTCACACGCTCCGACACCTCTTGAGCCTGACCTGTCGACTCTTGGCCCTCCCCTCATCCCCTGAGGGTGCATTTATTACTAGAGTGGGATTCACAAGTTATTCTTAACATTATATTATGTTTCTTCTTCATGTTATGCATTTTTTGTAACTAATTTGTTCTTAAGCAGATTCATTCCCCACAGGTGTCTGTCACATGCATCACTGAGATTATCAGGGGCAGGTACGATCAACCCTATCTCTCATGGAAGCATATCCTTACAACCACTATGGACTTGTAATTCAAGGAGTTTGAGGTATGATCATGTAATTTGAATTAGATTTGTAAATTTAAATTTATTTTTATACTAACACTTGGATTATTTCTTACGTTGCAGAGGTCCTTTACTTGACTCCCAGAGCACCACAATTAAATTCGCCGAATCTTTGAGATTCGATGCAAGCATCGCCTTGGAGACATGTTCACGACAACCCACCAGAGGGGCGAGCAGCCTGCCTAGATCTGTGAGGGGCTCTAGGGCCACTTGACCGCAGTCAGGGCCTCTCTTGATTATGAGAGAAAGAGGCAGACAAACCAGGTGAATCGATCGATGGAGGGGGTTAGAGGAGTTGCTCTCCATATTATTGGATCTGTCCCTCATACATAGCACTATAGAAGGCTAGTAATATTCTTTTAAATGTTTAAAATTTCAATATTTGAAGTAATTTTATGAAGATAACCAATTTTATACGCTATACAAGCCAAGGAGTTGAGTCGTGTTAGCTCCATTGCGGAGTTGCATGTCTTAACTCATCGGCTCCCGGGGACTAAGCATTGGGCCTTAGAACATTCCTAGCGAGATGGTGTAAGTAAAAAAAAAAAAAAGTTTATTTTGAATTTTACTATTGAAAGTGTCAATTAAATACTAGTTTTAATTC